GAAGGGGGCTATGGGGGGTCTGGGGTGGCATCCCCTTCCACCCCACTCCAGACCCCTCATAGCCCCCCCTTCTGATAGTCCGGCATATCTGATAATCCGGCACCCCCTGGGTCCTAAAGGTTCTGGATTATCAGAAGTTTACTGTATATGGAACTCTGTTTTCTCATCACTTACCAATGTTGGATCATTGAATTTGCACGCCTCTCCTATTTATTCATGATAACTGCACATTGACAGGAACCTCTGAGTTTCCAGCGAGCAGCTTGGATGTGTTTGGGGATTATGAGAAGTGGACACAATTCCTATGCCTCTGCAATGGAAGTGTCTGTTCCAGTCATATTTGGTTTCCTGGTCCTGCATCTTTGACATTTTAGCCTCAAACCTATTCTGCATTAATTCTAAAAAGACACATATAGGCTTTCATTCTCCCTTGGACTTGGTCATCTGTACTAGTCACCTCAGTGGTATTCTCATAGGGTATGTCTACACAGCAAAGTTATTTCAAAATAACTTTACTAGTGTCTACACAGCCAAACCGCTATTTTGAAATAAATTCGAAATAGCAGAGCGCTTATTTCGAATTTGGTAAATCTCATTCAACGAGGAATAATGCCAAATTCGAAATAGCTATTTCGAAACAAGTGCTGTATAGATACTCATATCGAAATAGGGGGCCTCCAGCCTCCCCAGGATGCCCTAAAAAACACCCCTCTCCCTACCTCCTCCCCGGAACCCTTAAAGGGGTTGACTCTGGCCACAGTGCCTGTGCCAGCTCCAAGCCTGCAAGTCACTGCCTCTGAGCCAGTGGCCCCAAAACATGAGCCAGCAAGCCACTGGCAGCCAGCCCTCCACTGCTCCCCAGGAGCAGTCTGCCAGCTCCCAGGAGCCTGCCAGGGCCTGGAGAAGGCAGGCACCTTCCTGGTCCAGGGTGGAGATCCTGGACTTTATTCAGGTTTGGGGGGGGGATGCCCCCAACGTCCATGATCTCCTCACTAGACAGAGGAACACGACCATCTATGACAGGATAGCTGCCAACCTGGACACCAAAGGCCACATGCGAACCCAGGAGCAGGTTTGCATGAAAATCAAATTGGTCCAGCGAGACCCCCACCTCTGAGCCCGGCGCTTCACCTCCCCCTTCTTCCCCTTGCTTCCCCCTTCCAGCTCCCCTCTCCCACTCTCTCTCTTCTCTCCTCTCCCGCCTCCTTTCCCCATTCTCACCTGAGTTTCATTTCCCCTTCCCCAGTTTTGTTAAATAAAGTTTGTTCATGAAAATACATGTATTTTATTTGACATCAGGAAGTGGGTTTAGGGAGGGGTAGGTGGAAGGACATGAGGGAGGAATGAGGCACAAGCCCCCAGTGGGGCAGACCAGGGAGGCTCTCAGTGCTTCTCAGGGTGGAGCCTCCCGGATGGCAGCCTGCAGAAAGTGCAGCCAGGCTCGCAGCAACGCGTCCATGAGAAGCACCAGAGTGCCCATGGGCAGGTCTGGCTCCATGTTGCAGAGTGGTGTGGTGTCCCAAGTGAGGGCAACTAGAGCATGCAGAGACAAAATGCTTTGCTGTCCCTCATCGAGGTAGGCAAGCAAGCAGGGAAAGCTGAAAACCAGCTGTCCGAGAGGAGTCCCTTTAAGCACAGACCTCAGATACTTTGTGTGGCTGCTGCCTGAGGCTATCTCTTGACCTGATGCCCTGCTGGGCCTGGTTCCGGCCGGCCTTAAATGCGATTCAGCGTCCACTCAGTGTGGAAGCACTATTTCGAAATAGCAAAACGCTATTTTGAAATGTATTTTGTTTGTAGACGTGTTATTTTGAAATAACTTATTTTGAAATAGTTAATTCAAAATAAGATATTTCAAAATAACGCTGTAGTATAGACATACCCATATTGTTTTGTAAACTTACCTGAACCTTCACTCAGGTAGTCACAATGGCTAATGGAAAAATTCTCAACTTGTAAGTTTCAAGTTCTCAGCTAAGGATATATCCCAGCTAGGACTCTTCATTCATGGAGAATGACTGACAGTTGTATCCAGTTCTGCCTAAGAATCAAACAAAATTCACTGTCATTGATGGTACTCTCCTTTTGTACTAGAGTCTAGAATTCTTTGGCTTTTCCTTTGATTCCACTGAGTCAGGAGGTCTGTGTGAAGATCAGTCATAATGGATCCAGAAAGTTGTCAGTAGCCTTAATTGTTCTTGGCAGCTTCACCTGTGAACATCTTAAGTCTGATGTTTGTTAGTACCAGAAATATTGTTTTCCATTCTCCTTATTCTTTGTCTGAGTTGGGGTAAAAGTATGCACCTGAGCCTGAATCTTCTCAGGTTTACAAGATGAATTCTGGATTACTGAGTTGCTTTTATGGAGAGGTTTATTCTGAAGTCTTGTAGATCGTGTTAAAAATGCAACCCATGAAAACCTGCAGCAATAAATATCAAAGTTTTCTTATCTCAGTAGTTGAAGAGAGTGATTCAGGATGGTTTTCTCTTGGTTTTGATACACTATACTTTTAACATTGGTAGAATTCAAAAAGTTCTTCCAGACTGAATTGGTGATGTCACACTCCTTGTGATGTCACACTAGGAGTGGTACAGTCCTTTATGGAAGACTTATTCCTTGTACTAGCAGTAATGCTATTTGGGAAGTTTGCTTTGTTGTTATAACTAAGACAGCAAAATTGAGTTTCCTTTTGAGCAGTTTTGCAGTGGATGGATTTACCTGAGCAGTCCTTGGGTTATTCCCTGGCGCATGAATCTCCTTTGTCACGAGATTAAAATCTTTCCTTCACACAACTCTTAGGATCTGTGCTCTGATTCACATGTGCATGTCGTCTACACCATATACATTCCTCATAGCTTTAAATATGGCAATATTGTTGGTGAGATGCAGTTTAGCACATAGTCTGCATAAACTAAATTCCATATGGAAAATGTGGTCCTGTGCATATCTTCAACACAATTTCCAGATATGAAGAAAATCCCTGATTTAATTTTTCAAGCATCTAGTCTATTTTTATTCCCACAATCATCTTTCTCATTTTTGTGTTTGGTTACCTGAGAAATTAAGTTATTAACTAAATTAGAATACTAAAGCATCAGATAGATGCTGACTGTTTCATCATCTTTCTTTGCAATGATGCTACACAGGCATCGGCATCTATATGTGCTTTAAGCAATCTTTCTCTGACAGACTTTTTTCAAGAGAAGACGTTTCAGTCACTTATACTCTTGAGCTAATGTAAATGTGGTTAGTTTTTCTACCGTACTGGGTCCTGCCATGAGGGCAGGGGACTGGACTCGATGACCTCTCGAGGTCCCTTCCAGTCCTAGTATTCTGTGATTTACAGCTTTTACCTAGGCTTTCAGTCCATTTTCCATAGGATTCTGTTGCTTTTGAGTCTTCCACAAGTAGGACTATACAGAGGCTATTTGAAGGAGGGAGAAAGATTTCTACCAAAAGCTGTTGTCCTTAGCATTGCCACTGCATATTGTTACTTCCTGCCTGCCTTCCCCACTTCTTTGGAGTCTTGGGAAAGAATTTCTTCAACTAGAGAAGGAACTGAAGGATGTCTGGACAAGTCCCTGTATTTTATAATCTGGGAATCCTTGTAAGGAGCAGGGATGGAAGGGTGAATATTCTCAAAGGACACTGCTCTTCAGAAGATCCTTCAACTTGATGTTTTCTTTTTAAGTTAGTATTTCAAATTATCATCTGTTTTCTAACTATCATTTTAATTTATAGTAAATCTGCTTCTCTTGGAATCAAGCTTTCTCAGAAGCAAAGAAAAATGATTGCCATGGCGGCTAAGGATAATGGTTCATTTACCATCAACCTGGAGACTACTCCCAATACAGCCACTCCTGCAAAAGCTGCAAAACCAGGAAGTGCATGGTATGTCATCTTCTTCTTTAGCTCTGTTTGCCTTTGTGTTGATTGGTTCTCGTTAGACAGTATTTTTTTTTAAGATGACACAACTTCTATTCAGTTATAAGAAATAATTGTTGCTTATACTTTTTGTAGAACATTTTAGTGTTTATAAAATTTTTAAACAGGAGTTATGGTGGATGGTGATGACTCTCTCAATATTCATATAGCTTAAAGTCCATAGCCAAGCTGGGCCCTGTTGTGCATATTGTGAGTATAATCAACCATGGAAAAGACATGATAGACATAAGAATGTTCATCTTGGATCAAACTAAAAGTCCATCTAGCCCAGTATCCTGTCTTCTGACAGTGCCCCAGAGGTAATGAACAGAACAAGTGATCATCAAGTTTTCCATCCCCTGTCACCTATTCCCAGCTTCTGGCAAGCAAAGGCTAGGAACACCATCCCTTCCTATCCTGTATAATAGCCGCTGATGAGCTTATCCTCCAGGAACTTGTCAAGTTCTTTTTTGAATCCTGCTATGGTCTTGACCTTCATCATCATCTGGAAAGGAAAATACAGGACTATGTAGCACTTTAAAGACTAACAAGATGGTTTATTAGATGATGAGCTTTCGACACTCTCCGCGGAGGCCTGAACAAAGACTCCAGCTATCTTACCCATTACAAAGATAGCTTCCCTAATTATCACCTCTAACACTATTAACTCACAGACATTTACCCTTCCCCACCTCTCATATCATTAACTCACAGGCATTCACCTTCCTTCCCCCTCCCCCCCCCCTGCATTCCCCTTCTGTTCTGAAATGTGATTTGTCCTTTTCATATGTGTTCACTTTTTTTTTAATTGTATCCTTTGGTATATATGGTTGTGACTATTTTCTTCCACTATTTGATCTGAGGAAGTGGGTCTGGCCCACGAAAGCTCATCATCTAATAAACCATCTTGTTAGTCTTTAAAGTGCTACATAGTCCTGTATTTTATTTTAGCTACACCAGACTACATGGCTACATTTCTATCACCATCTGGAAAGGAGTTCTACAGATTGATTGTGTGTTGTGTGAAGAAGTACTTCCTTTTGCTTGTGTTACATCTGCTGCCTATTTATTTTGTTTGACCCTTAGCTCTTGTCTATGTGGCATAAATAACATTTCCTTATTTACTTTCTCCACACCAGTCATGATTTTATAGACCTTTATCATATTCCTCCCAGTCATCTCTTTTCCAAAGAGCACGGGAGCTGTAATCTACTCGCTCGTGGCGAATAGATTACACCTTGGAAGAGCTGGCGCAGAGCGATCTGTGCATGTGCATAGCACAGAACTGCCCGGCTGGTTAGCGGGGCTCGCCGCTGCTTGGCAAGCCCTAGTAATTACAATTTTCCAAGTTTATATGGAAAGTCTGAAGAATTGGTGGTGACCCATTATTAATAATCACTCTGGACAAAGAAAAGAAACAATACGTTTTTTTATATTAATTTGAAAATGTGTCTTGTTACAAAAAAAAATACCATATATTTGCATTTCCTTAAATAATTCTGTATTCAGAGTAAGTCTTGCAATTTGGGGCAAATATGGTTTTTTTTTTTTTTTTCATACATAAGAAAAGTTTGAGTTCTTGCTTCAAGTGCAAAGCAGAACTCAATCTGAACCCTAGAGCTCTGACTTCTTCCATAATGGAAGAAACCGTGTGTTCAAACTGCAGGATTTGGAGTTTATTGAACTTTGTATAATGGTTTTATGGATACATGGGATTATCAGTTAGACATCAGAATTCTTCATAGTCAACTATGAAGTGTTGCAGTGAATATAGTACCTACTTTAATGAGCTCTAAGATGGTACATCATGTCGACCTGAGTTGTTTTTTAAATTTATTTTCCTGAATGGTCCAACAAAGCATGAATTAAGCATTCTAGGATGTTTAAAGCATCTGTTCACCCAATTTTTGCAAGAAGCTGTTGGGTTTAGTGGCTCAAGTTTAATTTACTGGCTACCGGGAGCTGACTTTTAGTAATTTCTTTTTGTTAATTGGTGTATTTTATAAGTACAAGCACCCAAAGATTGTTAGGCATATTTCAAATAAATAAAAAGTGAGCAAGGTTGATGTTCAGTATTTTTTCCAAGTATACTTTAATTTCTATTTCATTATTCTTTTGAAATATTTTGTATAGTGTGTGGTGCAGGCCCAGGTATCTTAAGTTAAAAGGCCTGTACCACACACTGCTGCTTCTACTGAAGATTATTTTTCTGGTTTAATTTTCATATGGTCATAGATGCCTATAAATGTTTGTTTTCAATATTCCAATTGTGCTTGCTCAGCGGGAAAATGGTGATAAACCAAGAGTTAAAGCTCTAAATGTTTCAAATAGGGATGGCCACTACGGAGGGAGGGGAAGGGTGCGAGGTGGTGACGTACATGGCCAGGGGACGTCACCATGTACGTCACCGCCCCCTCCCCCTCCCGCTGTGGCACTCAGCTGAGTGCTGCGCTCCTCAGCCGGGCCGCCAGGAGAACCAGCAGCGCAAGGGGCTGTTTGGGCTCCCCTGGGATGGTAGGGGAAGGGAGGGTGGTGACATACATGGCCCCACCCTCTGGCCCTGTACTGAGCAGGCAGCACTCAGCCAAGCGCCGCGGCGGGAGGGAAGGGGAAGGGGGGTGGGGAGAGATGGAGGGGAGAGAGAGGCAGGGGGACAAGAGAAAGGGAGAGTGAGAGGCAGGAGGGGGAGAAGAGAAAGAAAGAGATGGGGAGAGAGGCAGGAGGCGAAGGATAGCTGGGGAGGGGAGGAGGCAGTAGGAGGAGAGAGAGAGAGAGAGACAGAGTGAGAGAGCTCAGGAAAGAAGACCTGAAAATCCCATGTTATGACGGGCTAATTGGCTAGTTTCAAATAATTGTCTATCTTTTGGAAAATGGAATTAACTTTGTTAAATAAAATTTAAACTTCAGAAGGGAAACTGTAGATTTCTGTTGAACTTGTGCTAGTTCTTCTTCTTCTTCTTTTTTTTTCTTTTCTTTTGGTAATAACAGTTATTGTCCACATTTTCTGTCTGTCTAATTTTCTGTAAAAGAATGGAATAGTAAGCTTAGGTGCATCACTTATCCATGTAGAATCGTGGATGTTTGGATTCAAAATGTAGAGTGCATCTGGCAGCAAACTGAGCTTTCCATGCAAGCAGGATACTGAGAGCTATAGAGTCTTTGTGTTCCAGTGAAAGGAGATACTTGTATTGGAAATTCAGCAGCTTTACTGGCAAGAACTTTTGCCAGAAGGGTGTGGGACCTTCTGGTACTTTCTTTAGTTGATTAAAAGACAGCATAACTTATATCATTCTTTTCTTTTATGCCAAAAGAAACCTTCAATTTTTCAAGTTAGGAGATTGAAGCTAAATATCAAGTGATTTGAAGACTAGTAGAAAATGATAAACTTTGTCAGGTGCAATTTTATTTTGAGAGCTTCCCATGTCTCACTAGGTATTAAACAAGGTATATAATGTGTGTGTATTTGGTTCAGATATCTAACGTCCATCTGGAATGGAGGCTTTCCACAATTAAAACTTACACACATTTTTGCAACTAAAATATTATTATATGTGCAGAAATCCATACTAGTTCTCCATCTATCAAAAATGGCTTTTATATAGGAATGTTTAGTTGTGGTTAATTAGCTAATCGAGTAGTTTATGGAATTTCCATCAACTACTCGATTAGTCAATGGGAGGGCAGTTACTACCCCCCTCTTCAGCTCTGCAGTTTAAATGTAGGAAGTGCTGAGTGTGCAGGCAGCCTGGCTCTTCCTATATTTAAAATGCAGAGCTGCAGCAGGATTAGCTCCTAGAGGCGGTGCAACAGGAGTGAGCAGTCTCAGCTTGCACCAGCTCTGGGATGCTGCAGCTCTACCTCTCCTGCCCCTGCACCACACAGATAGTGCTGGAAGGAACCAGCTTTTCAGCCGACTCCCCCTGATACAGAGGCAGCGGGGAGGAGAGGCAGCGACTAGTGACTTGACTACCTGATAAGCCTAAGCTTATCGGGTAGTTGACTACTCGAGTAGTCGCTTACATCCCTACTTCTATAACACACCAAAATGTCAATAGCTCTTCTGTAAAAGAACTGCAGGCTTGTTTGTGTGTAGCCAACATTCCATAAATACGATTTTTTTTTTCAAGTTTCTTCAATGTCTTTAAAAGAAAAGGTATGTTAATTACAATATGGTCCAAAAATTAGTGTTACATATTAGGTGTATGTGACAGTACCCAAAAGAATGAGATAGTGAAGATATTGCACTTGAGCCATTAGACTAGCAGCAATTAAGCAATAATACTATCTCAAACACTTCATTTTGTTTATATCTAAAATGATTAAAAAATAGTAACATAGGTTCTTTGCTGTGCCCAGTTGCCATTGGTTTGCTGCTAGGGTGACCAAGTGTCTGGTTTCAGCTGGAACATCCGGTTGAAAAGAGATCTTGGCAGTTCGCCTTTGTCTGGTTGGTGTACACAGTGATGCTGTGAGGCTTCCTACTAGCTGATGTATAGTTCCTGGGAAGCAGCTGGTATGTCCAGTTCCTGGCCTTAAGGGCAGCCAGGGGAGTCCATGCATTGTCCTGCTTCCCCGCCTACAGGTGAAATTCCCATTGGCTGGGTCAGGGGACAAACTCACATGACTCTCAAGCACTCAGCATGTGACTGTTGAGAGGTTGTGGCATTCTCCTCTCCCAGTGCTCCTTGGGGGAAGGATAGCTCAGTGGTTTGAGCATTGGCCTGCTAAACGGAGGGTTGTGAGTTCAATCCTTGAGGAGGCCATTTAGGGATCTGGGTCAAAATCTGTCAGGTATGGGGTACTTGGTCCTGCTGTGAAGGTAGAGGACTGGACTGGATGACTTTTCAAGGTCCCTTCCGGTTCTAGGAGATAGGCATCTCCATTTGTGTGTGTGTGTATGTATGTATGTATATGTATATATATATATATATATTCCCCATCCCAATCCATCTGTTCCCCCATCCTTCTATCATTGCATCCCTCTCCACCCCATCCTCTTACTCCTTGCATCCCCATCTCATCCCACCCTGGCCTCCCCCACCTACCCATCCCAGTGTTGAACCTCTTACAGTGCTCTCCCACCCATTCTCTTCACCTCCTAGTCACCCCCTCCCATAGCCCTGCATCTCATTCACCTCCATACACTACTGTGCTCCCATTATGCCCTTATATCCTCCTGTGTGCTCCCCCTCGCCCACATCCTGATGCACCTGTAGCTTTCTGTCTCCTCTTCATACTCATCCTCCCCACATAGCCCTCCCCCCAATCACCTACTTACTCCTTCACTGCCTCCTCTTATCCCCACCCTGCACTTGGCCTCTTCTGCTCCCCTTTTGATCCTCTCTCTCCTGCCCCCCTCCATTTTTCCCTTCCAGTCTATCCTCCCTTCCTGGCTGGGTGATTTAGACTACCCCTAGAAAAATATATGAAAGTGTCCTTTTATGGTCAGGTGTGTGCATACATGCATTGTATGTGTGTTAGAGACTGCATGTCTTTTTGTAGAGGCAGGTGTGAATTGCATACACCCATGTAAATGAAAGTTGCAGTCTCACTCTGACTTTTAATAATTTTTGCTGGCTTCCTCACAGAAGAATTGATAATACAAAATGTGCGTATTCCTAACAAGTTTTTAAAAGGGAAGGGAATGCTAAAAGAAATGTTTTATTTCTTAAAAAGTGAATGTTGTTGACTAATAATTGCAGAAGAGGCCCCACCTTTGTTTAGCTACATTATAAGCTTTTTGCTGCAGACTCTCTTTTTATGTGTATGTCTGGCATCTTCCACTTGAGAGCCATGATCTTAGTTGAGGTCTCTAGGCACTATAAAACAATTATAATAATGTGGAAATATATATGTTAGTGAATGTTAGGTATATACATATGAATACATATGTGTTTCTGCATGAAGGCATGGGAGTCAGTTTGTGCAGATTTATTTATATAGGTATTTAGACAGGTGTGCATTTCTGTGATTGTGCTCTAGACATTTGTATTTGGGCTTCAGGTGTGTCCTTTAATGGACAAATGGCAGCTATAATAATGTATGTGTGGAATTAGGACCACACAGTTACAATATAGGTATTTATGAAATAAAAATATATTTATTGGTCTATCATTTCTACAACTTAACCACCACTGACAAATGTGAATTTTAGTCTATTTGCTCATAGATGAAACAGAAATGTTACATTATACAAAATGTTTATATGGATGTTGTGACCTGAACAAATCAGGTTTTGTACTTGTTAAGAGCAATATTTGACAAGTCACTGAGAAAATAGAGCTAAGGGTAGAACAGATTCTTAATTTCCCTTTTGGATTACCCATTAATTATGCTCAAAGAAAATAAAATACTCCCACGATTTTGGTTTTCCAAGTTATATTCTTACTAGCTATCTTTCTTACTTGAATTTGAAGCCTAAATTCACTTTCACCTATTTATCCTTTTGTCATTCATCCATTTTGGAAACCAACACCAGCATGTAGGAGTGTATGTATGACACTAATGAAACAAATACTGTAATAATGTATCTGTTTTTGGTGTCTTCATTTTAAATAGGATGTTGAAATATTGGAGAGAATATAGAAGACCGCCACAAAGATAATTTGACTAGAGAAAATGCTTTACCCTGAAGAGCTTAAAGTTCTCAAGATGTTTAGTTTATCAAAAAGAATACCGAGAGGTGACTTGATTACTGTGTAGAAGTATTTTCATGGGTAAATAATATCAGATACTCTAGAAATTCTTAATTTAGCAGAGAAAGGAATAAAAAATGTCTGGAAGCTAACACCAGAAAAAAATTCCAGTTAGAAATAAGGTACACATTTTTTTCCACCAGAGTGATTAACAATTTCAGCCTTGCAGTGAAAATAAGCTCATGAGTAAGGATTGGAGAGAGCAACTGATGGAGGGAAAGGGGATAGAGGCAGTGGGGCCCTCAGGAAGGGACAGGGCTTAAGGGAAGGGGCAGTGCAGGGGAATAGGGCAAGTGTGTTCAGTTTTCTGAAACTAGAAAGTTGGCAACCCTATGTGTAGTTGTGGCAAGGAGGCAACATGGAGGTAGTTAGGTTCTTTACTTGTCTGGTGGGCTTTGTAATGGTCTCAGAAATGGCTCCTGTTACCTCTGTCAACTAGTAATGGACCTCAAGGCACTGCCTGGGAATAGCTAGCATGTTCCGGTCATGTCTCCCGTTCACTCATACTCCAAGACTGCAGTAGGTGTGGCAAAGGAGCATGCTGACACTTCACCCGTTCTGTGAGGAGAATTCCAGGCAGGGACTTGCACCTTATTTTTGTTCTCTTTGCACTGCTTGGATGCAAAGAAGAAGAGTGCATCATCGAATATGTGAGTAATAGCTTAAAGTAAAATTGTAATGTGTAATAGCTTAGATAAACTTTAATTTGGCTGAATCCTGCAGCTGAGGGTACATCAATTTGAGGATGTAGTATTAAACTGTTCAGTTCCTGACATACTTGAGATTTTCCTAAATAATTCTTGATTGAGTTTTCTGGATATTTAATTTTTCTTGCTTTGGTCATGATATAGGTTTATAATTCACCCCACATTGCTTTGGTATAGATAGTATTATGCTTGAAAGAAATAATCTTAAAAAAAAAAACCCACTCTGGCTCTTTTTTATTCACATGAATACCCTGTAGTATAATGAAATACCATAAGCAGTCCCATTTAAAATAAACAGCAGTACTCATGATAGCAAAGTTAAGCATGTGGTTTAGTGCATACAAGATTGGTGCCTGAGATCCTGACAGGAAGAAATTATACAGTAAAGTTGTGATAACTTTTCTCCTGTAAATAAAAATTGCTTTTGAATGTTAGTAATTCTCCTCACTTCCCCTAACTCAAGAGTACTCAGTAGCCCAGGGGTGAACAGTAATTTTTCATGGGGTGGCTAATCCAAGAGTTTGGTAAGTGTTCAAGGGCTGCACTTTTTTATATCAGTGGAGGAGGGGCAAAACCTGGATGGAAGTCAGGTGCAAAAGGGAGCTCCAAGTAGGGGATTGGGATGCAAGAGGGGGTATAGAGTCTGGGAGAGTGTAAGGGTGTAGGAGAGTATTCTGATCTGGAGGAAGGGCATAGGAGGGGGTACAGAGGGTTTAGTTTGTGACCCAGGGCAGGGATTAGGCGTGTGGGGAAGGAGTGAGCTACCAGGTGCAACCTCTGGCTGAGAGACACTTATCCTATTCAGCTCCTGGCCAGATACTTGGGCACACTACTGAAGTGGCCTATTGTGGGGGCCTTGTGCATCTCTGTAGAATTAATACTACTAGCATATAGCTACACTTGACATTGTAGTGTAATATTAACAATAATGTTAGTGAATGCATGTTTGTTGTTTATACTATAGAAAGATCACAAATGTTTGTTACTTGTACTTAACTCTAGATTTTACCATTATAAGTTACTAAATATTTACATGTAGATATCTCCCATGTGAATTCCTTTAGCTTATTTATGGCAAAAGGCCTGACAGATACGTTGATGTGTAAAATTATGTTACTTGGGGACACAGAACTCCAGGAATTATTTTTAACATGCAGATCTCTAGCCCATATTTATTATGTGACTCAACAATATAGTCTTGAAAAATGTAAGTCTCTAAAATATTTAGGTATTTTGTTGTTGTTTTTAAAGGGCATCTTCATTACATTCAACTTTGCCAAAGTCATTCCGCAATCTCGTACTGGAAGAAGAAAAATCTGTCAGTGCAGGTCATCCTCCAGGCATCAGTGTCAAAAAAGTTTGTTTTAAAGGAATTGAGGGTCCGCGTGCTGAAAAGGCTGTAAGGTAAGTGTTGTTTCTCTCCCTTCATTACTCATGGGCTAATGCCCCCACCTGTGGAATTTGGAGGCAGTTCAGCAGTGATGCTTAAGAAGGCTCCAGAATTAGGTTCCAGTTTTCAGCTCAGATTACCAGATTTTCTGTCTCCTGCTGTAGAACAAATTGGTGGTTCACTTTCTCCTGACCATTTTGTTCTTAAAACCTTTGTTTTTATTTATTTCCATGCAGTTGCAACTTTATAATCTTCCTCCTCCCATGCTCTGGTAAATAGCAGCATGGTAGTTTCAACCACATGGATCTGCCCTGTATCTCTTTCCTGCCAGACTCCTGTGCAACTGTTCAAACCTGACATGAGCTGGACTGCAGATGCCCATCTTATGAAGCCTTTGATAAGTAGCACTTATAAGTTCTGCAGTCTGTGAATTATGCCTCACTTGTTACCTGTCAGCTGAACGTCACTCTTCAGGGGTATGGTGTCAGAATCAGACCAGCATGTTAGGTCCTCATTCTGCCCTGGGAAGCCACAGCTCTAATGCAGAAAAGATCCAATACAGCGGTACTGTGCTTTCAGTGAGAGAGTCTAAGGATAAGGAAGAAGCTGTCAAACCAGCTGAAGGGGTAAGTCCCACAACAAACCTGGATAAGAGGGAACAAACCTGTGAAAGATTCCAAAGCTGCTCTCTCTCCTTCCCTCCCCTTGCCCCCGATCCTCAAGTACTCAAGGGCTGTCAGGTCCCTGGGGAGAGTAGGGCTCCAACGCTGCTTCCCTTCTTCCCCACTATGGATTGAGGAATTATCACGATACTCAGGGATAAATCCTGCAAAACCCAGAGTCCCTAAAAGGCAAAAGCAAATGTGTCCTTCTCAGAGTAATAATTAATATTGTTAATTGACCAGTGGAGGGAAAAATCATGGTTAAACCCTTCTCTTTTTGTTTTCTTACTGTGGTAATATTTGCTGGCACTTTTCTTCTACATGGTTTTTCTCACGGTGCTCTGTATCATGCTCACCACCCTCAACCACTCTGCATGTCTGGCTCTGCAGAGGAGGATGTTCTTGTGAAGCCTTGCTTTGGGCTATAGTCTAATGGAAATGGTATCAGCTGGCTTTCGGTGTAAAGACCCTTGTCCTGACAAGAAAAAGGATTCATATTTCAGGAAGCAGCAGAGTGGAAAGCGTGCCTTCTGCTTGTCAGCCCTAAATCATAATGACTCCGATTTACTATAGGTCGGACCTCCCTGGTCCGGCACCATTGGGACCTGACGAGTCCTGAATAAGAGAATTTGCTGGACCAGGGAAGGTCTCCTGCCTCTGACTCTCAAGCTCATAACTTGCTGCTTGACAGGCTGCCTCAGCAGGCATCCTGCCTCGCCTTCCCCTACCCCCAACCTGGCTGGACTGCTTGCCTAGCAGCTTCTGGCTTCCTGGGCAGCAGAGGCTCTGGCTCTTGCTTTGTGGCTTTAACCCCATGCATTCAGGTGTAGCTGCAGGGCTCTGGCCCCATACTCCAGTGAGCTGCTGCTGGGATCTGGCCACAGGGTTGCTGCAGGGATCCAGCCCCACGCTCCCGTAGGCAGGTGCGGGGCTTGACTCCAGACTCGCATTCCTGTGTTCTGCCACGGTACCTCAGCCCCGAGCACCCAGGGACCACTGTGGAGCTTCACCCCCCCCCCCACTT